TACCCTTTTGCCCTTCTTGTTTTTAGGTTCCCTAAATGAAACCAGATAGTAGGAAAAAGGGTACCCTTACCATTTAGGGGCTACTGGGGAACCTAGTAAATACCAGATGCCTTACAGTTTCAAGTTGTTTTTCAAGTCTATAGTGAACCCCACAAAGTTGGAACATGGGTTTAGGAGGACTAGTGCTAGGAGTCCCTATACTGTAGCTTTCGGGCATGAGGATCACGATGTCCCAACATTCTGGCTTCTACCATATAGGGTACCCACACGTCTGGGTCCGATCATTCACCTTCCTGTGTTAACGCAGGGGTCTGAGTAGTTAGTAGCCATAACAGTATACCCCTATCTTCCGTAGTGAAATTAAATATTGAATATTGAGCCAAAAGACCTACTACCTGCCTGCCTGCCTGCCTTTCCACCCCCCCCGCCCCCGCCCATCCCACCTACCTCTTACCTACTTACCTACCTACCCACCTACCCACCAACCTCCCTCGACCTGCCTTCCTACCCACCTGCCTCGCACCTGCCTGCCTGCCTGCCTGCCTGCCTGCCTGCCTGCCTGCCTGCCTGCCTGCCTACCTACCTACCTACCTACCTGCCTACCTGCCTTACCTGCCTACCTACCTCCCTGCCTCCCTCCAACCTACCTACCCATCAAATAGAAAAGCTCCCGCGTTCTACCAACTCGAATACTGATAGCGGTGGCGGTACTTCAAAGACTCATTAGTGCTTGGCAATCATAATAAATATATAATCAAAATATCCTTTATGAGGTACTAGAGAGATACCTCCCGAAATCCATTTTTTCCACCGTACTTTAACCTTATTAATAAATTCAGAGAACGCGATTCTCATCTTAGAATTTCAGCAATAAATGACCATATATATATATATATATAATTTGGCGATCTTTTTCCTAGATTCAATAAATAAATAATTTCTTAATTTAGAGGATTTCCACTACGTAATTTTCGAGCTTAAATATGAATAAATAATAATAATTATTAGTAATTTAACTAAGTATTATAATTAAGAGTATAATATAAATTTAATAAAATCAATTACAACCACTAGATTTATATAACGATATATAGCTCAAGAATAAATATATCAAATAAAGAATATAAAATATAAATCATAAACCTGCGACAGAATCATAATACCAATACTAAAAAATTTCCCAATCTCACCCATAAAAAAAAAGAATTTATAAAAAAAATCATATCATATTCGAATAATAATAAAGCAATCAAATTTCTCATATTAGTTTACCATTGTCTCTATCAGAAAATTTCTTCGAAACTCAGAATATCTGAACAAATCTAATATATATATATATATATTTAGCAATCAACAAGTATTAAAGAATTATCGAATCTAACTTGATTTATTATTTGCTATATAAAATATATATCGTATCAAATAATTTGTTTAAATTGCAGATCAATTATCTAGATATAAAAGAATATCCTGCATCTGAATACTATAATAAATGCCCTGATTCCTGACAAAAATGATCAAATTAAATATTGAGATATTGTAGCAAGCATTAATCAGCCAAACCTTTCGACATCATCCACAACTCCCTGAACCAGCACAAACCCTAAACCCATGACTCTATCCTAAACCAATCCTGAACCGCAAACCTCAAAAATCCTGAATACCAAAACCCGAAACGCAGGACCCTCAAGTCTAGATTTACCGCAGAGCTCTTGAAGCTTGACATGCCCTGAATCCATGTTTTGCCCTTTCAGATTTACGGTTTTGGGTTTAGGGTCTAGTCTAGTGCATTTAGGGTTGATGGTTTGGGCTCAAGTGCTTAGGGCTTTTCAGCCAAACCAAACAAACAAAACGCGCTGTTACGTAAGCCGTAAAGCCGGTGGAATTGCAGATTCTCTTGCTGTCTCTGGGCTCAGCACCCTGGTTTGCAGCTATTGCTAGTTCCAACCGATCTATCTAAAACCCAAACCCCAAAAACCCTAAACCCTGGGTTCAAAGTTTAGACTTCAAGTTTTGGGGGTACCCCGAAGCCGTGTAAGCCCCAAAGCAAGCTCCGACCACTTGTGTTTGAGACATCCTCGTATCCTCATCGGGTGAAACAAGAGAAGTCACGAAGCAACGTGACCTGGCTCAGACATTAACATATAATATGGCATAATACAGTCTAGTACAGTATCGTATGGTATAGACAAGTCTAGGAAAAGTAAAAGTGATAATGCGTTTCTCGGGTTCAGGGCAGACTTGTAAGGCATTCGGAGGCTTGGGGCCCATTATACTATCATCATGATAAGGAACCCCCAAAGTAGTATTGGTAATTATTGAGGCCCCTATATTCGACCCTCACGGCTTGAAGCCCCAAACCCTGGATGCGTACTTTACTCATCTTTAGCCCGAACCTGAAATGACTTTGGGAGCATATCTCACCACAATTCGGGCCCCAGAAAAGCACAGGAACAAAACTCAGGATAGGGAGATTGCACATAAGCTCCTTACAACGAAGCACGATACATGAGGGGATATCCCTGTAAAATGCTTATGCTTGTGTCCTTTTGGGCTCACTTTTCACTTTCAAGTAAGAAATGCACACACGCACGAGAACACGACAACGAACCACACAATAGCAAACAAACTGTCATAATGAGAGTAATACTTCCAGCAAAAATCACAATACTAGGTAGTAGTCATAATCCTAAATAATGGGTTTAGGATTCCTCATTGTGTTTTCTATATATAGCTCCTGAAAATGGAAGGTCTTTTGGGCCACAAGCACTGCAAGCCGGACGCATGAATAGTTCCTCTAAGGTCTCCTTTAAGGGCTCCTTTAAGGTGTCCTTTAAGGTTTCCTTTAAGGGTTCCTTTAAGGGTTCCTTTAAGGGTTCATTTAAGGGTCCATTTAAGGGGTCGAAGTCCCGGCCTCACTATGCAATCGACCCCAGAGGCTGCCCCACGCGGAGCGCGTCTCCCGGCGAGACCTGGCTGGTCTAGGGTTCATAGGGCTTACAGGGCTTATAGGGTTTAGGGTTTAGGGTTTATAGGGCTTACAGGATTTGTAGGGTTTAGGGTTTATAGGGTTTAGAAGGCTACTAGGGTCTATAGTTACAGGGTTTGTAGGGTTTAGGGTTTATAGGGTTTAGAAGGCTACTAGGGTTTATAGTTACAGGGTTTATAGGGTTTAGGGCTTATAGGGTTTATAAGGCTACTAGGGTTTAGGGTTTGCAGGGTTTAGAAAGCTACTAGGGTTTATAGGGCTTAGGGTTTAGGGTTTATGGCGCTTCTAAAAGGGCTTGTAGGGTTTAGGGTTTATGGGGCTGACAGGGTTTATAGGGTTTAGGGGGCTTATAAGGTTTAGAGGGGTTTAAAAAGTGCATAGGGTTTAGGGATAAGGGTAAAGAGCGATCCGAGCATTGCTTTCTAGGGCTCTGTCAGGGCCTAGGGGTTTTCAGGATCTTCAGGTTTAGGGCTTCTTCAGTTTAGGGTTTAGGGTTTAGGGTTTAGGGCTTCTTCGGAGTGTATGTGTGTGTGTTTCTTGGTTAGGCTTCGGGTTGAAGGCTGTTTGGGGGTTAGGGCCGGTTAGGGTTTAGGGTTTAGGGAGATTTTGTGGGTTAAGGCTTGGGGCTTAGAGGTGATGGGGTCTGAGGACCCTAACGTACTGTTTTGGGGCAGCAAGCTTGTCAAGAGTCCGTTTATCCAGGACATGCCGCCCGACATCACACCGAAACCCAGAAATCCTGCGTGGACGTTCAGAGGGGTCAGGGGGTCGGATTTATGCAGACCTGAGTCGGCGGGATTTCTTAGTATGGGTGGGAATTTCGACCACAGATACTAGCGTCGACGCCACCCCAACAAGTCCTGCCTCATCCCGAAGCAGGGATTCTTGTCGTTTCTGTCCTTCCAAAAAACCCGGATCTCGTAATCTCCAGAACCCTTACAGCCCTCAACCTCAAACCCTCAACCCTAAACCCTAAACCACGAAGTCCTGAATCCTCACAACCCTGACTCAACCTCTAAGCCCAAAGCGCCAGGCCCCAAACCCTGAACTCGACATTCTCGACAATACCCTGCGTAAAGCCTGAGAAGGAACCCTTATAACTAGTAGTACCTTCGAAAGGAATCGTTGAGGTAAATCCTAAACCTCTAAAGCCCTCAAGCCCTAAACCCTAAACCCCTAAACCCTAAACCTTAAACCCCTAAACCCCTAAACCCATGTTAAACCCATACACCCCTCAACCCCTAAACCTCGGAAGCCGCGCACCTGCCATCGGAAGTTCTTCGGGCTCTCGAAGACGAGGACGACCGTCGACCTGCTTTGTTCTTGACTTTGGGGCTGAGTACCCAAGCCCAAAAAAGGTTAACCTTTTGAATTATAGTAGGATTATAAGAGCCCAAAAAAGGTTAGCCAAAAAAGGTTAACCTTTTGAATTATAGTAGGATTATAAGAGCCCAAAAAAGGTTAACCTTTTGAATTATAGTAGGATTATAAGAGCCCCAAAAAGTTAAAGGTTACTTACTCAGCCACTAAGTTGAGATTCTGGAATGGTTTTCAAGCGTACAAAGTGTTTTGACGCAAAGTGTTTTAGGATTTCGATTTGAGAGAATGGTGTCGAGTGCTAAAACGGTGCAGGGTCGCAGGATTGGGGGTGTAATTAGGGCTTGGGATTTTGAATCTGAGGGATAACCCTAGACCCTGAACCCCAAACCCTAAACCCTAAACCCTAATCCCTAAACCCTAAACCCTAAACGGGTATGGAGACCTGCCACTGCTGCTGCGACTGCTGCGACTGCGACTTCGTTGACGACGACCACCGCGCGACTATGACGATTACGACTATGACTACCCAGAGGCTCCAAAGTAGTTC